AAAAAAAAACAAAAAACGAAATAAGAAAAAAAGTATTAGGTATGCGAAATGTGAAATGAATAAATAAGATCATTTTGAATATGTTTAGAAAAATTATATAGCGTATAACGAAGAGACATGTTACTTTACGTATATATCTTTAGCGTGATTATATGAAGCTCTATGGTGCCTTGTGTTTATCACTATTTATTTTTTTTTTTTTTGTTTATTTATATATAAATAAGATCTTGTGTGGTGCCAAATTTATTCGGCAGTTTCATTCAAATTTGTAGTAGACAAATTTACGCAAGTATGGACAAGACTTACTCTGCTCGTGTGTTCTAATGTCGTTGGCATTAATCTACATTTAGAATAAAATATTCTTGAAATTAGTAATTTAGAAAAATTAAGAACAAAGTAATATATATTTCAAATGATAATGATAGTTAATGTTTATGCATTATGCAGAGAAAGTTCTACATATATAAAAGTAAAGTGACACTGTAACGAAATTGTGTTATTAAGCAGAGTAATATTGAAAGGAAAGAAAAAAAGGAAAAAAAAAAAAGAAATACGAAGAAAGAAAGACTAAAAAAAAAAAAAACCAAAAAAGAACAAAACAAAAAATTGTACTTACTCATTAATATAAAACGTTACTGCCTACGATACAAAGTGCACTAGTGTAGGAAGTAACAATAGTTTATAAAGTATTATTTATTTTGAAACTATATTATAACAAAATAAAACCAAAAAAAAAAAAATCAACAAAAGGGGATAAAAAAAAAACACAAAAGAAAAAAAATATTTTTAAAGAGAAAAAAATATTTTGGAAATAATAATAATAATAATAAAAGAAAAAAAAATAAAACATGTAGGAAATTAAATTGCGTTTATTATGTTTAAGTTCATCGCATTTTGTTAAAGTTAAGCTTAATGAGTACAACATAATAGTGATGAGATATAACATATTTTTTTATATCTATACAATGGAATTACAAGGACCTATTTGGGTTAATGTGTGGTGATATTATAAAAAGAAAACAATCATACTCTTCTTTATTATGGTGTATGCATTAATGACTTCTTCAACAATCGCATAAGATTTAATTAACTTTCTCTCGTTAATTTGCTTCTATTATATCTGATTAGGTTTTATTTTTCTTTTTTCTTATATATAATTGAATTTTTAATTGATATCTCAAACTCAATATACATTTCTATAATAACTTCAAAAACGTCGAATAACAAGATCTAATCAGATATGTGCGGTGGTACAAATATTATATCAAATATTTTCAATAATTATTCCTATATAAATATATATATATATACGCACACACAAAATCACACACACACACAAATTCCTATATACGGATAAGATGGATAAATCTCAAGGCACCTATGTTAATTATATCCATTGTATAAAGTCTATTCGTATGTTGATATAAGCATATCGTAGCTTAAATTATTGCATCTTCTAAGACGGGGAGTTGCAACGAAATATTCTAGTTTTACACCCAACTAGTTCTCGTCTTTATTTAAATTAAATCAATGATAATATATTTAGACAAATTATATAAAAAACAAAAAACAAAAAAACAAAAATACATTAAATTTAAATTGCACAAAATCTTTCATAACAATTATAACAATGAAATATCTTTATTATTATAATATCAAATCTATTTAAACTATTTAAACATAAATTCTGGTTAAATGTAATTGCTCTACTTAACTGCTGTTATACTTATATTCACATTCATGTAATACTAATATTATTGACTATTATTTTATTTTAATTATCACAAACACACACACACACACACACACACACAAGAAAGTATTTCAAATTTAGTAAATTCTATAATTTTGCATTATTCTGATAATCTTTTTTTTTTCTTTTTTTTACTGAATAGCGTATACAATTCTGACCCAAGTGCTAAAGTATTTTCTAAAAGAAAAAGCAAATTAATATCTATATTTATATATATATATATATATACATATTAATATGTATATATTATATGCATATCTATATATTTATAAAATATGAAAACAAAAAAAGAAGAACAAACTTGTACAAACGGTACAACCAAAATATGTAAACGAAAAACCATTTGGTATATAAAATTATTATTTTAAATTATAAATAGTTCTCATTCATCATACGTATGCAAAGAAAAAGTATTTTTTTCAAATTTCATGTAGTATGTCATCAGTAAGTAGTAGCAAATTTCTAAAATACAAATAAAAAGTTAAATTTTTGTAATCTTCTTCTTCATTTTCTTGTTAAATAAAAGCAATCTATGCATATTATTTATATAAATTATTTCATTAAATTTCTTTTAGTTTTGCATTAATTCTAAAATTGTATAATTTTAGAAATGAACGAAAGATCTCTAATTTGAGAAATGGATAAATTATTTTATTACTAATAATAATAATAATAATAATAATAATAATAATAATAATAATAATAATTGAAAATAATAATGACAAAGACATATTTTCAAATGAAATTTATTTTGACCATAAATGTTTATAATGAATTTTCATATTATAAATTTGCAGTTAGCGGTGCGCTGTTGTTGGTCGGAGAGAAAAATAAAAATATTAATTTTGTAATGCATAATACAGATTATTTCTAATTACGATATAACAAATTAATAACCGCCAAAAGCTAGAGCATAATAGATAGATAATAGAGAAAGAGAAAAGCAGGGGCTCAGAAGAAAAATAGAGACATAGAGAGAGAGAGAGAAAGAGAGAGAAAGAGAGAGAGAGAGAGACAAAAAATAGATGACCAATTACAATAGAATATATTGAATATCGATTAAAATATAACAAATAAAGTAATCTAGAATCCTAAATGATGAACACATGTATGTAATGTTCATATGTTACGATTAAGAAATTAATATTACAAATTTTCTATAACCCTCTTTATGATTATTTATTAAGTTATTTTTGCTTGTTTAATTACTCATTAAGTAAAGCACTAATAAAAATTACAAATAATATATAATATAATACATGCTAAGATGCATTTATGAAATGAATTCTACATCATCATAACATCTTGTGTGTTATATTATTATAAAGACCAAAAAAATTAAAATTTAAGAAAAAAAGAGATCGTATACATTATATATACATACATGTACATATATATATATATATACATACATACACGATATCTTTCTATATATATATATATATATATAAATATATATATGAGTTACATATAAATATATATATATATATATAAATAATCTGTGACCCCTGCAGTAAATAAGTATTGTTGAAATAATAGAAAACTAAAGACGCATTGATACGATTAGAATTAAAATTTGCTGCAGTTAGCATAATATTTTTGATGTCGTGTTGAGTTTGTGAAAAGGGATGATGATATTCATTCGTGATGATGCAGAAGTATTGGCCTCATGCTCTCCAATAATGATTAAATCAAGAATTCTGGCTGATACAGATATCCAGAGAATTTGACGATGGTAATAGTTGTTACATGCCATAAGTTTTCCATTTGATAATAATAATCATTCCTTAACAAATCCCAAATCTCGTTCACAGCTCACCAGAAAAACCAGATGAATTGTAATTTCGTATCTTTTTTTCATTGGAAATAATTTTACAAGCATCTTGTTATACTCGATTGTAATTGATATTTATTTCTTTTTAATCTCTTTTATCCTGGTCTCTTAGACTATTGTCCCGTATGTCTACTCTATGCAAGAATATTTGTATATGCGTGTTCTCTTGTGTATTATACGTGCATTCATATATCATCAACATGAAAATTGAAATAACTGAATGTATTAAAAGCTATTACTTGCAGGATAGTTTTTAGCTTTGCCGGTTGCTGTGGACCTTTCATGATGATATTTTGAACAAATTACTTTGTATTTTTTTCCTTTTTGCTTTTATATCGATATTTGATGATTCGATATATTCGGAAGATATTAAGTTCCGTTTTTTTTCCAGGAATATTCATCATTACTTATCAATGTTATTTCGACTTATATTGGCACGTACTCTTCGAATTTAATCATGTCATGAAGCTTTTACTCGTCCCATGTTTTTATTCTCCCATATTTTTTTTTTTTTTGTTACTTATCTTTTTTTGTGTTATTTATTTATCCTTTTTTTTTTGTTATTTATTTTATTTATTTATTTACTTTTTTTTTTGACTTTTTAATTCTAGCGCGTCACTCGATCCCCGCGATAAAACGGTCCGTTCACGGTAAACGCGTGTCACGGTGATGTTGGTAATATTCCTTTGTCGTCTCCCAGTTTCATAGATGTTGTTTCCTATTCTTTCTTGTCGCACTGTATTATAACCATCCATTATTATTCATTTCCATCTTTCAACAAGCAGTAATTGTTAACGATGACAACGACGACGACGACGACGACGACGACAGCGACAGATTTCCTCCATTAAACCCACTTTTACGCCGACGACTCCATGCATATACCATACTCGTTCGCCGAGCCGTTTTACCGTTTTGCGCAGTTAGTGATTTGTGGTTGTTGGTCGAAGAAGAATTGGTCAAACGAGCCTTCAGTCGCTCCCGCGACGCTGCATGGCAATTGCGTTGCTCAGCCAGGTTTTGGCTCAGTAAGGCTGGGAGAATTGTCCCCCGGCTTGTGATTGACCAGATTGATAAAAACCACTTCTATCGCCTTGATAAGTCGAATCTTGAGACAATAAACCATCCATTTGTGATTGAAATTCTCCTACTGCGAACGAATCTTGAGAAAGTTCGGCTTGACTTAAACCAGGTTGAGATAGACTGAATCCTGGTTGAGACATACCCTGAGTACCTTGCGTCAATGGTAATCCTGGTTGGCTATATGGTTGTGTGTTTTGTTCAGTTTGACTTAGCTTACCCATACGTGTGTTCGATTTATTCTTAGATGTAGCTGTACCACGT